GTTCATCATATCCTCCCATTATATCTCCTAAACCGTAATCAAGCTCTTCCAGTAAATGATTGCACTAGTTCCTCAGGCGAGGGTGGTAAACCTGAATCTTTAATGGTAACTTTATTTAATCGCTGTAAGTCGTGTACTATTCTTAATTTTCCGTCCTGCTTCTTGATGCAAAATACTGGACTAGAATAACTTGAAGAAGATTGCTCATAAAGTCCTGTTCGCAATCTTTCTCTGACTAATTCTATAAACTGATCTTTGATTGGTCCTGGAATTGGTATTGGTTTTTGCTGCCACGGCTCATGTGGTATGACTGGAAGAACGTATGGTTTGCCGTATGAGTGCTTCAATAAACCTCGATCGTCTTCTGTGAATGCCAAAGCCTTTGCTCTTAAGGTAATAATATAACAAAACAAATTCTTCTCTTCCTTGGATAACCAATTTGGTGTTCCGAAGTTGATCATTTTTAATCTTTCCTCTGTGATTTTAGTTGTAGGTTGAAATTCTGGGGGATTGGGAATTACTGGGGAGTCATACGGATCTCGTGAAAGTGTTGGCCTTGATAATGGTGGATTGATCGACATGGGCATGGGTATGTTGATTGGTTTAACTTTCTTTGCTGCTGATTTATATTTGGCTGCCTGACTAATTAATTCCTGTCTCTCTTTTTTTTCTACAGTTGTCCCCGGAATCTTATTTAGTGACCTAAGCCCGGGGTCTTCTCTAAAAAATCCTCTGTGACCAAATGCGCCGGAATTGTAGTTTCTGATTTTTGATGACATGGTAATAAAATTGGAATTAAATAAATTTTGCCTTTCTGATCGGCTATTGCCAATGATTCAACTCCATTCTCGGCATATCTGATCGTAGCGGCTGAGTCTATAAGGAACGGTTTCCCTAGGATAAATTGAACTGAGTCTCTAGCAACCCAAAAGTGCACTGGACGGATGTTTTGACCGATCTTTACTTCAACTCCCTCGGCGATTCCAATTATTCCGGTTCGATGACCTCCGATTCCTTTCAAATTCATTGGTTTTTCGGTTATGACAAGTCCCAGCTGCTGCGCCAAATGTTCTGGAATTAAATTCACCATCGACCCTGTATCTAACAAAGCCTCACTATCCATTCCATTAATATTTAATTTGATATATCCTAAAGGACAGGAATAATGAACTGCTGATGGCTCTTCTTCTTTTCCTTCAATGGACGCCTGGTTTGTTGATCCAGTTTCGTCTACTGGCACCCGTTTATTTGAAATCTTCTTTTTGAAAACGTCCACAACTCCATTCGAGATTGCAAAAATTTCACCATAACTGAGCGTCATTTTTCCTTCAGTTAACATTCGCTTAGCCGTGTCCTCCTCCGCTCCTGGATATTCTTTAGCCAATGTCTTTTCTAGTTGGGTTTTTCTGACTGGTTTCTCTTTTTCTTCTTTTTCTGAGTTGGATTCTTCAAATCTGACTTTCACTGGGACTGTTTTCTTTTTTGCTGATCCCTGAGCTGATTTTGACGTCGTTGCTTTTTCCAACAAATCTTCGGCATCAATATCCATTTCCGCGTCCTTTTCTGTTCTTCCCTTCTTTCCGCTTCCTGATTTTTCTGGTTCCTTTTCGGACCGGGTTCTTTTTCCTAAATCCACGTCGTAAGCCACTCGTTCCTCTTCTTCACATTCCTCTAATTCTCCAAATGAAGAAGAGACCCCAGCTGATGTCTTTTTTGATTGCTTCTCAAATTTTTCTACTTCCTCTCGAATAGGTCGTCGGGTATCCCATGCTATTTTTGTGTTGTCTGGCAACAGATACTCTCGTCCTTCTCGTTTGACTAATCCATGAGATTCATCGAATGTGTATAGGCTGCATCGATTGCTGCTATGATTTTCTTGAAAACAATAATAGCATCTGAATCCTGGTCGCCTGAATGGAACGTTAGTTGGTGCCGATGTTGAAGGGAGTGCAGAATCCAAGTCCTGATGTGGAGGAACCATTCTTCCAGCTGTCAGAGAGGCCAGTTGTCTAGTTAAATCTTGAATTTTCTTCTTGTAGGATTCTGGGGGTGGTGCCGATACTGGTGGTCTTGGAGCTATATACTTTGCTGGTTTCACATCCTCCATTCGGGTTTGATCTACTCTTCCTTGTGTTCTACGTTGCATGACGGATGTTGACTGAACTTCTCGTTGAATATATTGAATGATGATTTTGGTTATCGGCAGAATATCTCCACCATCTTTTGAAATTCGCATTTTATTATCTCTGATCAATTCACGGGTTACAGCTTCCTCGAGATGTGGGCTGAGGGCGTCAAGCAAGAGTTCTCGAAAGTCCTCCAAGTCTGAGTTATATCCCATCCTGACTAGATAGTGAGTAATTGTTTCAAACTTCGTACGGAAAATCTTGAATTCTTCTAACGTTCGAATTCCTCCTTTCCTGGCAGCATTATTAACTAGATCCTTCAAATCTTGCTTCGTATATTTAACCAACGGCAACGTCTTCCCAAATCTGTCCAGGAGCTGTTTCTTGAGAGCTTCCCATTCGATGTCCTCGTAACCTTCCATTTCTTCAACTTCATCCTTCAATTCGCTTCCTCTGATAAACGAAATGATCTGCTTGGCTAGATCCGTTGCGCTAGCTCCGTCTGCTTCGCCTGCACGCTCATAACGTTTAATGAATTTTTCAATTGGCATATTCGACCCATCGAAAAACAATTCCTTGTCCAAAGGCTTAATCTTGACTATCCCAACGCTCATCCTTGGTCCTACGTATTTAGGGATAACGGGTTCTTTTTCTAAGAAGT